TAGGAGCTTTTCTTGATCTAGCGCTTGCTTACTTCCTTCTCTGGGTTACAACATTTTCTTTTTGTATGATGAAATTCTTCGACTTTTTTGGGGTTTTCTTGCCATGTCCATGTACTGGGGTTCTGGGTTATCAAAATAGCAATCTGTGCTGGTATGAGCTGCTTTTTGAGTGGCCAACAAGAAAGATCTGTGCTGTTTTAATTATGGTGTGTGGTAGGTTTCCTTTTGAACTGATTTGGTTAAGGGATCGAGAGGGCAATTCAATTATGAAGTCTTTAACTGATTGGAGAATGGAGAATGGGGTTCTTGAATCAGATGGTGGAGGGTGTTCTAATTCGTCTTCCTGTTTGAGATTGCAAACTTTGGTTGATAAGGGAATTGAGTGTGATGCCAAGGGAAAGAAAATTATGAACCAAAAGCAGAAGTCTGGAATTCGGCGACGAAGAAGAGCTGCTCTGGGATATGGAAAATCCTCATCTGCTTTGCCTTACAATTGTGGTGAAATGAGAAGCATAACTAGTGCAAGTTCTGGTCCTGTAACTGAAATAGAAGATGGTTTTCCTGGTGAGTAAGAAATGTCTCTAGAAAAGAATGTTTTTGTAAGTAATGTTTGTTCTTATTATCTGCTTAATTTTTGCTTCAAGTCTGCAATTTTTATTGCAAATTTCTGATACAAATCAATCTTGGGTTTGCTTCTGGTGTTTTCTGTTAAAGCTTTAAAAATACTTGTCCTAAATTCATAGGCATCATCCAAATGTTGTTGATTTCAAAAAAAACTTTTGTCTCAGTATGTTAGGTAGTTGTTAGGTAGTTTGTGCTGTTGAAAGGAGAACCGAATTTATCTTTTCTTATAAGCGTTATAATCAATGCTAACATTTGCAATTATGCCATTTTAGATGATAATGATGCTCAAACAGGCACTGAAGTGGGTGAGAGTGTCTGTCATCGTTTTCAACTTTATGGATCATGTGGGGAGGATAATAAATTGGAAAAGGATTCATCTTCTGTTAAAAGATTTATCAGTAACATGCAAGAGAAGGTGGAGATTGCTGCTAATGAAGCGGATCGGATCAGAATGTTGGAAAATTCTCTTCAAGAAGTGAAAGCTGCCCATGATGCAATCTTTCTAGAGTTAGAGAAAGAAAGGTCTGCTGCTGCAACTGCTGCTGATGAAGCCATGGCAATGATGGTGCGTATACAAGAGGATAGGGCATTGATAGAAATGGAAGCAAGGCAGTATCAGAGGATGATAGAAGAAAAAATTGCTTACGATGAAGAAGAGATGAGCATTCTGAAAGAGATTCTTGTTAGGAAAGAGAAGGAAAATCATCTTTTGGAGAAAGAAGTTGAAGCCTATAGGCAGATGAATGTTTTAGGGGATGAGGATTCACCTCCAAATCTGCATCAGATAAGGAGTGTTGGATCCTTTGACAAAGAGGAAGTGAGTGAAGTTGCAAGTTTGTCACCAAATCATAACGCTCCTGCTTGGAAACAAAACTATACTTCTCTTGTTGGAAAAGAAATAGCATCAATGAATCAGAGTGTAGATTCTAATTTGTTCACTTCACAAAGACTGGGGCAGATTTGTGGGGCAAGTTCAAACCAAGGTAGCTTCTCTCACTGTGAACACAGTACACCCAAGAAGTATGTTGTTATAGAAGGAAAAACAGATGCAGATGCAGAAGATGAATGTAGCATGTTATGCCAAAGATTTCCAACTAAGGTGATCCAGGGTCATGGCACCGAAAAAAGTGTCTTTAGTGGGGAAGAGCTGCAGGGAGATGGGGAACCCAGAGACCAACCATGCCGCAAACTGAAAAATTCTACACCTGATATGGAACCAACTATTTTTGATGTTCATGTCATTGATGACCAAATTGAACTTCAGAAGGAAGAGAGTGTAAGAGAAAGTGGACTATTGACTTCTGCTTCAGATGAAAGAACCTTGCTCTCTGACTCAGGCAGGGATTTTTGTTTTGCAGTCAGGAATGAAAGGTTGACAATTGACACTGAAATGGAATGGCTGAGGGAAAGGCTCCAAAGTGTGCAAGAGCAAAAGGAGAAGTTGCCTTGCTGTGCAGATCGGGAGGAATGGGTTTATGCTCAATTGAAACTCATGGAAGAGATAATGAATGAGCTTCATGAGAGCTTCAGCTGCTAAGGGAACCTGTTCAACAGGGTTCTTTACCTCCGTCTTCATCTTCTAAGGTGTGTAATTTACAGCTATAATGTACCTCTTTACATTTTTAAGCTGCGGATGCTTTTCACGTTCTTGTTTTAAAATGGAAAATGGCCTTTTTTTTGGTTATTATTATTCACTGATATTTCCATCTATGAGGTTGAGAAATGGAATAACTGATGGATCCACAAGTCCTTTCTTACACTTTATACCAACAAGACAACGTATTTTTTGTGTCAGAGATGGTTTCTTTGAAAAGCTAGAATGCAATCTCTTCAAAACTCACATGTTGGTATGATGTATTCTGTATGTTCTTCTTCCAAGGCTTGGTGCTCATTACCATGTATCAGGTCCTTCTCTATACGAAGAACTTTCTTAGTGAAGATTTTAGCATCATTATCTCTTTCCCCTGTGTCAAGATAATTGTTGGTTTTTGTTGTTGTAAGCATAGACAGGGTTACAATTTTTGTCTGAAGTAAAGCTGCCCTTTATTTAAGGAGCATCCAAGTCACTTAAATTCTGAAAGAAAGTGACATATAAACAGTATGTAAAGAACGCCACTGAAAAAAAAAAAATTGTGTTCATTATGTTATTAAACATAGCGGATTGTTGGAATCAAGATTTTATCAACTCAAATCTGCATAGTTTCAAAGATTGTCTCCTTAAGGTCTATTTCTAGAAAGTAAATTAGAGACATTAACAATCTGAATAGAATGCGTCAGTAAGTGGCGTTCTAGAAACTCCATGTTCAGTTTCTTAATTCATAGAATGTGTTTGCCTCAGTTTAGACCAGTGTTATGTTATGATCTTGTAATAATCATTAATGATAACTACATGCTCTATTTCTTCTCAGGCAAGTTCAAATAAAAGACGCCGCCAAAGCATGCCTGATAGCACGGAAGTCATGTACAGTCAGCATCAGGTTCACAACTCTGTATTTGCTTCAGGTTTAGAATTTTGTTGATAAATTTTGTAGGGTACAGTAGAGGTAGTTGCCTGTGATTATCTAATGTTGTTGGGAGTTTCTTGTTCTCTGTCTTCCTTTTCAACATTTAAGTTGAAATCAATTGGAAGGTCGCTTCAGTCAAAGTTGTTGCAAAGCATTGGCTCCTATATGGTATACTACATGCCATCATTCTCGTGGAGGGGTGGGTTTTTTTTTTTTTTTTTTTTATGGAGGGTTAAAGGTTAATTGTTCTGAAGACACCAAAAGTTGGCTCATTTGTGGAAAGAAAGAAAAGTTGCTTCATTAATTGTTTTTCTTTTAATCTTGAGTTGCACAAATGAGAAATAATTATATTTCTTAATCCATTTCACTTGCATATAATATAATTTAAATTTAAAATCTCTTTTATTGAAAGAAAATTTTCATTGAATTACTTAAATTTTTAGTTTATCAAATATTAAATTTGATATATTTATCTTATTGGTATATTATTTTTTATTGTATAAGCAGAAGTTAAAAAGCAAAATTCCTTCGCAAAAATAATTAAGAATAAGAATATTGTCGTCTCAACATTCAAATCCCACTTATATTAGTAGATGCGCAATTTTCCACCATATATATCTGCTGCGAATAAGAATATTTGAGTTATAAATAAAAACAATAACGTTATTTGACTTATAAGCAAAAATAATTAGATATCATACAAATCTATTTTCAGCTGCAATTGAATCACTAATACAAAAACCATAACAGTGTAGGAACCAATTATTCTTAGAAGGCTAACAAATAAATTGTTGGCCATATATTAGATAACAAATTTATTTTTATTTTTGTTTTAAAAAATCAAATATTTCATTAATAATTTAAATAACTCAGTATTTATTTCTTTTCATTGAAAATAAAAAATACTAATTTTGAAACATGATAAAAGATAATTACTTTTTATTATAATTAAAATAAAAAAAAATTGGGTGTTTCTTACTTGACCAAAAGACTTAAAACTGAAACTTAACTTATAATTAAAAACAATTTTGTTTCTCATACTTGAACGGAAGGCAAACAATTTCTCATTTACTAGAAATCAGGATTCGCCCGGCAAGTATTTCCATTTGTCAAGTTTTTGGGACCAAGTTAAGTCCCCAAACAGGCCCCTTAAGTGCCTCGCCTCCAAGTGGCAAAACCTGAGAGGCCACTCACGCTTTCCATTTGTCATTTTCTTCCCTTTTGTGGACCGCAAACTGCCAACGCTCGACAGAACAAACGGAAACCGAAGCAATAGACAAAGCGGGCGTTTGTTTCAGGGGGAGCACCTATCAGCTGATAGTTTTAATCGTTTTAATTAAACGGGTCATATATTTTATAAATAATAATTATTAATTATATTAAAATAATTAATCTAAATATCTTAAAATAAAAAACAAAAAATTGAAGCAGATATCTCACACCTTGTTTTTTTAAGAAATTTTTTATTATATATTTAAAGTACAAATTAAGAATATAATTAATGTATATTTTAATTATTAAATTTTAAAAAATAAAAAAATTTGATATTATCGATTAAGTCTTTTTGATTTATATTTTAAAAACATAAATTAAGCATGAATTTTATTTTAATCACTAATATTATGTAAAATAATTTAATTTAATAATTAATAAAATTTTAGTTAATTTTTATTTTTTAATATAAATTAATAATAAAAAAATAATAATTACATCTTAACATATATTTTAAAAACACATATTAAAAAATTATTTATTAATTTTAAAATCAAAGTCACATATATTAATATAATTAATTAATTTTAAATTAAAGTCAAATTTTATTTTTTTTTAATATAACCTATAGTATATTTTGTCGGGAGAGGGAGGAAGAAAAAAAACCTAAAACTTTTTCTATTTAATTAAAAAAATTTTGTTTAAATAAAAAAATAAATATTATATTCTTTTATTCTTCTTTTATCATTTCTCTCACCAATCGTCCTACCTTAATAGCATTAAATTTAGAGCAATGCTAGGGGCACTCGCTTTTCGCACTCTCCGGTCAACACTTTCTCTTTTATTGGGCCACGTTATCTTGGTTCGGAGAAGTTGCGCCTGAAAGCTTTAAAGAAGCTTACGTGGCCCAATGAAAGGGGAAGTGGAGGTCAGAGAGTGCGAAAAGCGAGTGCCCCTAGCATTGCTCTTAAATTTATCTTCAAGGCACTTTAAAAAAAAAAAAACAGTTTTTTTATAAATACGTAGGTAAATGAAACGTTTTCCAGACAACGACGTCCTTCTCCCCTCACCGGCGACGTTGCTGAGCTAACTCGACACTGAAAAATACTATTATTTTATTTTCTTAGAGAGAGAGAGAGAGAGAGAGAGAGAAGCCCGCCTAGCTAACAACTTCCTTATTTCTGTGAATACAAGGAGAATTCATTAATACGCATCGGAAGGAGATGGAATATGCGTTTTTTGTCAGGACAACACTGATCTGA